TGATATTAGCAAAGGTAAAGGAGAAAGTTTACTCTGTGAAAGGCAACATTTCCCTGTAGAATCTCTCTTGGCATTTTCTGAATGAGCAGGATTAGTGATCTAAGTAAATCATATTTCAAGAGGTAACAGCAACAGATAAAATTTAAAGGGATTATTACAATAACATTTATAAGATTCTGAACAATTCTTGAACTCTTATAAACACTTCTTGAACTCACAAAGAAAGCAATTCTTTATTTATGAATTTCATAAAGGACTGAATGTGCAACTGACATCTGCTAATGATAATCTGGCAATATATAGTTTGTTAAATAGCTGAACATTTAGTTTTTATTTTCTAACCATAAGAGATCGTTAAAGACAATATGACACTGTACATATGCATACAACTGGTCACTCTGGGCCCTACTACCAGTGAAATGGTAGTAAGCAAATCTTTTTCTGATCAAGAGAAAATAAAAGAAGTAGCATTTTGTGTTTTTGTTTGTTTGTTTGTTTTTTAATTTTTTTTTAAAGACTTTATTTATTTATTTCTAGAGAGGGAAGGGAGGGAGGGAGAGAGAGAGAAACATCAATGTGCGGTTGCTGGGGGCTGTGGCCTGCAAACCAGGAATGTACCCTGGCTGGGAATCGAACCTGGGACACTTTGGTTCCCAGCCCACGCTCGATCCACTGAGCTACGCCAGCCAGGGCCAGAAGTAGCATTTTGCATGCTTCACTCTACAAGATGAGTTTCCCTAAAAAGAATCTAATGAAAATGGCTGTAATTACAAGAAGTGAGGAAAGAGGATTGGTGACATTATCTCTGAAGGAAGCAGTTGAGGCTGATCCAGGTTTATCCAAGTGTGCTATGTTTTCAAGTCTTAAACCTCTTCATCATTTCTCCCTGAAGTTTCCTCCATGAGTTTCATGGAGAAGTTACACTCCTCCATGAGTTTCCTTGTTTTAGTATCATTGAATGAAACACTGCATGGTTTTGGTGTGAGTCCATCTTGTTTAGATGCATTCATCAGAACAGTTTTGCTGGGTTCCTTACCATTCAAGCTGTCATTCTCACTGAGCGTTTCAAAAACACATCTCAATTTAGAATCCATTGCAGTCATCATGAACCCTGGGTCAATGATTCCACTGTTGGGCCACACACGGTACTGATGAGGTGCTGTGGTCTTCACTTTGAAACATACTTTTCTATCTGATGGATTTTGCAATTTAAGATTTGTAGTGACTTTATCTGCATAGGGGTCTTTGAACCCTACAGTTATGGGAGGCTATGGGAGGGTCGAGGACCAGAATCTGCTTGAGCTTCACCATGGACCCAGAGGCAGATGCCATTGGAGACATAGCACAGAGCAGCACAGTGTCCCTGTGCTGGCTCTTTCCTGGCTGGGGCAGGGGGTAGCCAGGGCTTGGCCAAGTTCAGTCATGGGGCCAGTTCATGACTCCTGCACACCCATGCCTGCCGCTAGGTCACAGGTTTATTGGGCCTCCTGCTGGGGCAGCAGCTCTGGGTCTCACAACTGACTCAGTCCCACACCACACCAGATGCTGAGGCCACACTCATGCAATCCTCGATCCTCAGCACCCCACATGATGACTTAAGTGTGCCTGTCTGTGCGCACCTGCGTCCTGGAGCCCCTAACGCTCCAGCTTTCCCTTATTTAAGTAAGAATAGATGGGTTATTTTGCTTTCTTCAATTTGCCACTAAGAAAGCATCTGCAGCTTGAGTGCTTAGTCACTGGATTCAGCTGATATCTTCACCATTCCTTTGCTGTAAACGTCTGCTGTACATACTGCCTCTCCCTGACCATCGTACTTTCCACGCTTCTTCCAGACACTCTCCAAAAACAACTTGATTTTCTCCCTTCATTTTTATGCTACACAGTGTTGATAGTACCGTACCCGCCCCACCCCTGTTTCCATGCCTTTGCCCAGGCAGTTCTCTCTGTTTAAAATACCTTTATTTCAAAACTAACAAGTGTTACTTTTGCAGACTCCAACCCATTCCTCAAATCTCAGTTCAGAAGCCATCTTCTATAGGCTTCTCCTATGCTTATTCTTTATTTCATACTTATATGTATTGTAGCACAAATCTTTTATCATGAATATTAGTATGTCTCCTTTGAATATTAATCTCCTTGGAGGCCAAGAAATTAGAGTTTTGTATTCATGGTTCCTAGAGCAGTACCCGGTATACAGTAGGTACAAAATACATAGTTTTGACTGAATGATAGATTGTTTCACCTTTTCAGTAAGCTATAACAATAATGAAGACTGTTAAAGACCCCTATATCAGAGAAGTATGAAAATATAATTGGCACATATAATTATCTCTGCCCTATTTACATTAATTATGTTCCTATATATTTGCAGAAAGCCATCTTTGTACAATTTTATCATATTTGTTTATTTAATCATAAACCCAAAATATTATTGTGTGATTGCTGCTGATATATTAGTAACAGCTTTAGTGTCCATTTCTTTTCCACATGTGGAAGCTAATATTTCTAAAGTATAAAAAAATGGCATAAATAGGCAGATGAAAGTGGTGCCTCCCACGTTGGATTAAGCACAGCTTACATGAGTTTAGTCCAGCCTTCCCCACTCCTCTGTCCTGATAATTACCTGGAAGACCCGAGTTATGGGGTCTCCCCCTCCTCCTTGGTTCTTGCCTTGCTTGCAAGAGAAGAATTCAAGCAAGAAACAGCATGTGTGGTGGAAATGAGATAAGTTTATTTATGAAATACACTTGGGCACAGGCACCCAGCTAGTCTAAGTGTCCCACGTGTAGAAGAAATAAAGTTGTTAGTAAGTTTGTTGTATACACTGGAGCCCAAAGCTGCAAGTGGGCACTCAGCCAATCTGAATGCCCTGACTATTGGAGATCAGGGGTTATACATTTTAGCCAGCTCCTAGGTACCCCTCCTCCTCCTGTCTCCAGACCTTGGGATTAATACACACAGTTTGAAAGGCTTTCTTTGCCAACTAATGAAAAGGATACACACAGAATTTCAAAGGTTCCCCACCTCCTGCACTATTATAGTTTTGCTTGTGATGTTCAGACACCTCACGATCTTGTTGATCTTACCGGGCCAGGCTCAGGATTGCTGAATTAATGAGTAAGACATGACTCCCTTTCCATCCCTGCTTTGCTTTACTGTCCATCTTACTTAACAATATCTTTCACATCTTTGTAAGCAAGTTCATGATGAAAGATTGTCTTCTCTTTCTGTATCTTTCACAGAAAATCTTTTATGATGAGCCAGAGTGTGCCTTCAACACACATTGACTAATTGTGTTTGGTGATTTTTCTAGTTATAATCTTGGAGTTGGGAGGATTATTTTTTCATTTTGATTATTTAAATTATTTAGAACTTTGTCTTGCTAGTCTGGGAGTAACATAATTACAAAAAATTCTTATTCATCTAATAGAATGGTAATGGTTTATCAAAAAAGGACTAACTGATTTACTTTGTGGCCTGGGGGTATGTTTGCGGTATGTTTGTGTCTCTGTATTGAGGAAAGCACTGTGCGTTTGGAATTCACCTACCTCCAAGTGAAGAGATTAAGAAAGGAGTTCTCAGATGGACTTTAGGGATTATACATGCCCTTAAAGCCATAACTCTCTGTCTCTGACTTTTCTAATAATTTACTAGTCAATTAAGTATGGTACCAGGTTTATTTTAATAACTTTCTGTACCTATTCTAGTGAGTCATGGCATAAGTATGTCCTTTTGCATCATAACCTAAATGTCAGGGGAAATGGGAAGGGTTTACAGGAACAAGTATAAAGGACACATGGATAAAAACTAGGGGCGGGTGGAAATGGGAGGGAGAAGGGGAGGGCTGGGTGGCTGGGTTGGGATGGGAGTAAAAGGTAGAAAATTGTACTGCAACAACAATTAAAATAAAATTTAACAAAAGCCTTAGCTTCTGAAATCAAATAAATAAATAAATAAATAAATAAATAAATAAAGAGAAGGCCATAGACATACTCCATATTAAGTAGTGCTAAGCATATTTGATGTTGGGTGGGCAGGGTGAGAACTATGGCTAAGTTTATTTCTTTTTGTTTTCCAAAAAATATATTCATTAGTTACAAATATGGATGTCAATTATTTTAAGGTGTTAATTTTAAAGAATTGCAGATACTCATGAAGGAAGAATAGTTCTTTGGCATCTCTGCTGCATCAAGGAAAAGAATATCCTTTTGGCAATTTGATAATATATTTAGACAATATAGAATGCAATGGAAGATTATATTATACAACATGTTTTTTAAATTCTTTTTTTGTTGTTTTTAAATGAAATCTCCACCTTGATAAAAATGATTTATTGATTAACCATTTCCTATATTTCTCAATATATAAATATCTCAAGATATTTTATACATTTTCAGTGTATATATAGTCTTTGAGAACTTGGTGCATTTACAAGTGGGCAAATTTTTCTGAAGTTTAAAAAAAAACTGTCAGAAATAGACCCCGGCTAGGTGGCTCAGTTGGTTGGGCATTGTCCTGTGCACCAAAGTGTTGAGGGTTCGATCCCCAGTCAGGACACATACCTGGGTTGTGGATTCAATCCCTGGTTGGGATGGGTACAGGAAGGAACAGATCCACGTGTTCTCTTTCACATCGATGTGTCTCTTTCTCCTTCTACTCCCTGCTGCCCCCAGTCCTCTTTCTCTGAAACTAGTGAGCATATCCTTGAGTGAGGATTTAAAAAAAAAAACTGTCAAAGATAGATCTTTTACTTGAAATATGAGTATGCTACTAGTAAATTTTGATGACTAACATCACATTATTTTCATGTATAAAATTTAAGTGGAATATATGTTTAATATATCTAGACATTTAGAATAATATTCTTGATAATTCAAATAATTTTAAATTACGCATTAACAAATGCTTGCCTCATTCTTAACACATTTTTTTATGTTTTTGTTGAAGTGCACTTGTTATTTAAACTGATCTTTTGTCTTTCGTTTTCATTCTTTTGACAGCTCCTTCAGGATGGAAGGAAAATCTTTATTTGGAGGCATGTCAGCTCATTTTTCTCACTTCAGATTCATCACTATGACTTCTTGAGGCCAGATCTAATTTTGAAATAACCAAGAACCTGTCCATCTTAGAGCAGCAAACCCCCTGAACTTCGGAGCACAAATGGTCACGGATACGGTCTGCATAAAATCATCTGCCTCTAGTCTGACAGCCATGAGCAGAGCCCTAGGGGTGAAAAAGCCACAGCCTTAAATCTCTTCGCTCAGAAATTACCAAGAAGATTTTTTTAAAAAATAGATGAAAAGGACTAAACAATCAAGCCAACAAAAACAGAAACCAAACAAGCTCCATCTTACTTCACCATGAAAATAAGTATTCCCAGATAGGAACCCATGAAAATGTATATTCAGCGAATTAAGCTAGTAAATTATCAATTGATTTATCATTTGGGAAGGTAAAAGTGTAGAGATAGGAGATACCTCTAGCCAGAATCACTCAGCATTTCAAAAGAAAAATGTAGACAAAGAGAAACTGAACAAGCAGAGGAGCATTGCAGCAATGAACAGTATTAGGACAGAATGTTGCTGTTTGCAGAGAGGATGTTTGCCATCGTGTGTACACTTTTAAAGCCATAATGGAATAGCAGCGTTGTTGTCAATTGCTTGAAAAGTTTCTGCATTCAATCCTTCACTCCATATTGGTTGAGAGAGGGGGGAGGTCAGTTCTTACTGATTATTTCTCAATGCACTTCGAATATTTGCACTGTCACTTCCATTCAGGGTAATGATGTGCGCTGATATTTGCACAGATGGTCCCGTGAGTTTTGAGACCACAACAAGCAGTTTCTTGCAGGAGTCTAAAAAGGAAACACTTAAGAATTCTGCATATATTGATTTCTCTTTCTTCCATAAAAATCAGTTATTTGAAAAAATAATGTTCTTGTCTCAGATTAAAACAACAACTACAGAATTATCATGAAAAAGCAGCAGTGTGGTCAAATGAATGAAAAAGGGATCAAATTTTTTAATGAAGATCATTTTTTATCATTAACAGCCAAGAAGTCAAATACAGTGAACTGTACACTAAACATTTATGTTTAACATCTATTTGTTCTCTGAAAAAAATCATTTGTAATTTGTATTTGACATATAACAGTTTTTTATAGCCATTTATCTATGCTTCATGGAAAAATGTACCAGACAAACAAACAGCATTTTCAGTTTATTTTTCTAAATAAATGTGTTGTTTGTATTATTTGTAGTTGCTTATTTTATTTGATTTTCATTACCTGGAAGATAAGTTTCCTGTGGTTCATTGACAGACTTTTGTCATTTTAATTTAGAACTAATGAAATTTCAAATATTTCTGTAACATAAAATTATGCTTTCTAGCTCCTAAACTCTGAAGAAGAAATTATATATTTTCACCATGACTTTCTTGTCAAGAATTATTTTAATATTCTAGTTACTAATTATCCAGAGTTAGTTTTACTATCTGCTAGAAAACAGCAAGTTTGGGTGTGCTGTGCTGGTAGGTATTTTCTCTCCATTCTCCTGCTGAACATCTGTTCCAGAAGACGAAAATTAGATTAATATTTTTAGGCCATTAATCATACCTAACCAGTCTTCAGCAGAGGTCTGCTGAGTACGTCCGTCAGTATATATCATAATGAGTAGGCAACTGTGCTGGAGCAAAAATGAAAATCGACAAGGGCTTATTGAAAACCTGCAAAGTGTTCGTCCTTACTTGAGGCTCACCAGCTGGAGTCAGTATTCACGATTGTTGCTAACCCCCAATAAACAGTGTGTAGCTCAAACAAATTACTTTTTCCTTTTTTTCATTGAGGCATAATTGACATAAGGTTTCAGCTTCAGGTGTACAATGTAATAATTCAGTGTTTGTATATATTGCAAAATGATTGCCACGATAAGTCCAGTTAACATCTGCCACCAGACATAGTTACAATATTTTTCTTATGATGGGAACTTTTAAGATCCACTCTTGTAGCTACTTTCAAATATGCAATACAGTATTATTTTTTGTAAAACAATTACTTTTATTTTTCGATTACAGGTGACATACAATATTAGTTTCATGCAATACATTATTCACTATAGTTGTAGTAATACTTGTGGCATTCTGGAGGTGGCTGGGGCAGAGTGGGAAGACAGCGCCAGACCTTTGAACTCTCTGGAAAGGATTATTAGTCAGCCCTGAAATGTGTATTTAATTAGAAGCTAGGAAGACAAGCTAATAGGCCTGTGGTTCCCGGGTCTGCTGTCTCTTGCTGTACCCTGGGGATGGTATCCATCTCAGAATTCTCTCTTGGTTGTAGTACAGTGACGCCAGGAAGCATAAGCCCCACTGGCCACCAGAGCCAGGCGAGGTAGACGTGTTCCCTGGCAGTAGCTGCAAAACTGGGGCACCAGACAGGATACAAGCTCCTTTCCAGGAAATACAGGCGAGTTAGAGTGAGGCAGAAGCTTAACCCAAAGATGCGTTCACCAGCCTTGTGCATGAGAAGACTCCACAGCTCCCAGCTCCAGGACAGCACACACAGGTTTCTCCCAGCAAGTCCAGGGCAGCGTCCCAACCCAAGCTCTGCTCAGTGCCCAGGTGGTTGCAGCCCGCCAAGCGCTGTCTCGGGAGACCAGAGACCCATGCCCAGCTCCTCCAGGGCCAGTTAGTCCAGGAGCATCCCCTAAGCAGTAAAGCAAAACAACAACCAAAACGAAACCCACCCCAGGATCCGGCAGGTGCGAAGGCCAAAGGCTCTCCTTTGGAGCACGGCAGAGGGTGAGTGTGTAGGTAACACCCAGCAGGAAGAAGAAAGGAAAGATAAAAGCCTAGATTAATTAAAAATAAAAGCAGCTGGTGCCCGCGGAGGAGAGCACAGAGATGGCACCTGCGGTTGAAAAGCTACTGATGGGAGCGTGCAGATGGTTCCCGCGGGGCAAAGAATAAAAAGTATATTGTTAAAAAAAGAAAAGAAGGTGACTCTTGGCTGGAGAGAGGCAAAGGGAGAGCCAGAGATGGTGCTCACCAGCTAGCAGTCCCCTAGGTGTGTACTCAAGTACCGAGACGTCTGCCCCTCAGGCTGAGGAATGCAGTAGGGTTTGCCCTTGGCCTTGTTCACCTCGTGCACAGAAATCTGGGTTCTTCAGGGTCGGCTTCTTCCTCACGATCCCCTGGGCCAGGTGAGTCCGTGTGGGGCATGCTCAGTTCCTTACAGTCTTGTGAAGGTTGTTTCTCAAAGCTTGATGTTTGAGGCTCATTTCTCAGGTGCAGCTTGGGGCTGAGACTGAGTTTCCTCCTGAAGGAGTTGTTGCACCGCGGTGGCATTTGGGGGGAGATTGTGTCCCATTCTCTCCTTCCCGCTATGATGAGGTGGGCCGGAAGCATTGGAGTTGCTCAGGGTTTAGGGTTTTTTTTTGTTGTTGTTGCTGTTGTCATTGTTGTTTGTTTTATTTATTTTAATTTTCCCAGAGGAGATTGAGTCATTTGTACGTAGCTGCAGATTCAGTGCATTCGAAGGAAGAAGTGAGGCTAGGATTATCCTCTGCCACTATCTTCAACTGGAACCCCCAAACAACCTCAAACACATTTTTTAAAGAAAATTAAAAGAATAGGTTATTAGGTATATTCCCAAACTATGATCTGAAACCAAATTCACATTATATTATTCTGCACACTAAATTGATTTACTCTCTGCAGTCTCTTTGTGGTACTTAGTGTGCCCTGTAACATAACAAAGAAAATTAGTTTTTCATGCATGATTTGAACCCCTGAAAATTAAGACATTGTACATGAAAATAATCCAGCTAGGAGTTAAATTGCCAGCTCCTGTGGGATGTTAGATGTTGAAGTATGCCTGGACTCATTCGAAATCTTTTAAAGTTCATGCTTATTACACCAAGCTGTGAATTACTTGAAATTATAAATGGGAAAATCAAGTTTTCCCTAAATACCTAACAATAAAATCTTTCAAGAATAAATTATATAAATTAATTCTTCAGTTTATGGATATACTCAATAATAAGCAGTGATTCACCTATTGTGGTTTATGGGGAGCCCTTAAAGGGTTTTGGAAAGATGTGAGTTTATCAGGTCTGTTCTTTAGTAGTAAAACTGTGATAGTAATGTGTAAAGTGAATTTCAGTGGGTGGCATACAGACCAGAAAAACATGTCTAAAATTTTCTTGAATTTGGTTTATTTATTCTCTTCAACTTTAATTACACTTACTTTCTAAGTTATTTCACTTGTTCATCACTTTATCTCCTTTTGTCTTTAAACTTTAAACTTAACTTTCCCACCTTCACAGTCAGTATTTTACAAAACCTGTTAAACAATCTTCAGTTCCCATTGAGAAGTACTACTTACAGATTTATTGAACTGAGAATGCCAGTGTAGGTACAGCCATATCTCATTTTATTGCCCTTCACTTTACTGCACTTCACAGATTTTGCATGTTTACAAATTGTAGGCAAAACTCTCCACCAGTACAAAGATTATGGTTGGCTTTTTTGAGACACTGGCTTTATTGTGATGGTCTGAAAGCAAACCTGCAAGATTTCTGAGGTATGCCTTGCAATCTCCACTTCCTGGCATTTGCTTTTAGAATGCAAGTGTGTTACATTCACATGCAACTTCAACTGTCTCTCTGCTGGCCCATATTTAGTTAATTATCATGTTTCTCTGCATGAGTAAGATGATTCTCTTTATTTACTGAGTGCTCACTCTGCAACATGATTTGTGTTGGGCACTAGGAAGTTGAGGAAATAAGACACAGATCCTATTTTGATGAAGTTTAAAATCTGGTTGGAGAGAAATGGCAATACATTAAAAATGTAATTTCACCAGTTAACAAAAAACTACATCTGTGCTCAGTTCTATAAAGAAAGGTAGATGGTATGCCAAAACCATATATCCACTCTGTCCAACTCAGTGGGGGAAGTAAATGTTGAGCTGAGAGCTGAAGGGTGACAAGTAGGTAAATGAGGCACATCATGTGCGAAGCATTGCAAAGGGGAAAAAAATAGGTTGACCTGAAAACTGGTGAATTAGGTTTGAGTAAGAAGGATAGCACAGAGAAAATTGTGAGGTGGTATCCTGATCCTTCGTAATCTATACCTCAGGTAAAGCAGAAATAACACAAACAGCCATTGGCAGTAAAAACAGTTGGTATACAGAAGTAATAGAAGTAATAGCAAATCTATCTGGTATAATAAATGCAGGTGGGTTTAATTCCTGAAGACACTAAGATCAAGTTCACACAACTCTCTCCCAGCCACTGCCCCACAAAGTATTTACTTCTACGCTCAAAGTAATACAGATGGTTACACAATAAAACAATGGATTAAGTTGTATCTGATTGAATGCAACCCAGAAGAAAAAGGGGGTCAAATGAATATAAAATATTGCAAAATAACAAATAAAAATTAAGAATGGCATTGGCAGCATTTTTTATTTATATAGGTATACTTCTCCAAGAAGATATAAAAAATGCATTTATAGGCATCTGTGAATTCATAAAGACTTGAGCAACTATAGGTAGACTAGCAAATGTTTAGAAATATGTTGAAACCAATTTTTGTAAAATTAGTTTGCCTGTATATAACAGAAAAACCCAAATAACAAATAAGAGGCTGTTCAGGCCTGGTTTAGCAACTCCTTTAAATCGTTTGAGATCCAAGCTTCTTCCACTTCTCTGCCCTGGCGTCCTTAGAATGTGGCCTCTGTTCTTATGGTGCAAAACAATGACTAGGACTTCAGATATCACATATTGGGTTGGCCATAAACTCCGTATGTTTTTTTCTATAAAATAAAACCCACATTTTTTTAAATTTTCACCAATAACTTTATTGATTTGGATATTTTGAGTATGTTGGCTATCCCCTACATGGTATAATGTTGATTTTTCTCAATGTCTCAGTTTGATCACTATCAACTTCAGCTGGTCTTCTCCATCATGGAGCATCATCCAGCAAGAAATCTCCAGCATGAAACTTCACAAACCACTTTTGACACATTCCATCAGTCACAGCACCTTCTCTGTACACTGCACAATTTTGTTTTTGCATATCAGTTGAGTTTTTATTTTTATTGAAATAATAAAGCATAATATGCTGAAAATGTTATGTTATTTTCTTCCATCTTTAATATTAAAATGGCTACACAAAATTCACCAATTTTGATGTTTT